GTTAGGGACTCGTTTGCCAATAAGGGCGGGTTTCCAAATGGCTGGTAGGCGGGAGGTATCATCTCGTTTATTCATGCTGTGTGGGCGTTTTTCTATCTCGATGGCTTCTCTGATTATTCTGTTGTTAAAGTGTTCAGTTTTGGCAATAGTTCTGGTCTTTTTAAAGTCAATTTTATGTCCTGTGGCTTTAAGGTGTTGGCCCAGGGAAGAAGTTGGTTCCTCTTTTCTGACTGAGTTCTTGTGTTCTTCAATGCGTGCATTTATTCTTCTGTTGGTTTGTCCGATGTATGTGGTGGGGCAGGCAGTGCATGGGATTTCATATACTCCTTGATTTTCTAACTCAATTTTGTCTTTGGGGTTTCCTAAGAAACTCATATTTATGATGGTCGCGGTGTCCTGGAGTCATGTGATCACCTCTTGTGACCTTCTGACAAGCAAAGTCAATGTGAAAACCAGATTCATCTAACAATTGTATTACTAACTTAACCACTGCAGTGATTCACTTAACAACTGGGGAAAGAAAAGTCATAAAATGGAGCAAAACTCACTTAACAAATGTTTTGCTTAACAACAGAAATTTGGGGCTCAACTAAGGTCATAAGTCGAGGACTACCTGTTCTGAATGGTGAAAAGGAATGAATCATCATTAGGAAAGTTCTGAATAAATGTGATCCAGAGGAAAAAGTTATTCTGCCAAATGGCAGAATGGATAGATAGGAATTAGGGAATAGAGTATAAACAAAGTGATTGGCTTATTTGGAAATCATAGAATTAATAGATTTCTAAGCATTTGCTTAGAATAAAAATCTGTTTTGAGTGATGGTTTATACAAAAGCTTAAGCAATGAAAACACAGAGGAAAGGAATCTAAACTTACATCATGACTAGTGAAAGCTACAAGAGTGATGAATGGTTCTGAATATGAAACAGAACAATTTTTGATTGTGTAAATACTACATATTGGGTAAAAAAGGAAATGCAGTAAAAGGAGATATGTGAAAGAAACTATTATGAGAATAGTATGATTGTATGAACAGAAAGCCCACATCATATTTGAAATAGTATTAGAACATAGATGAATCTCCCAATAGGGTAAATGGAAAACAGATGTAAGAAAAGAAAATGTAGGATTCAGCCAAAAGTAAATAGTGTAATTAGCATGTTAAATTACAGTTAGCTTTTGTTGTGGCATCACTTAATGTTTTAACCTGGCCCTGTCACCTTTTGATATTGTAAATCCCAACATGTTAATCAAAAACTCAATGTATCCAGTAAATTTAAAGGTGCATATCTTCATGTTTAATGCTATATTTTAAGAGTACAAATATATACTATATAGTGGCCAGCTGTTTATTAATCTTTTTTTTTAAACAAAAACAACCTTATATGGAGCATTCATGCTATGATCTCAGTATTTGGAATACGAGATAGTCATAGGTGGAAGGCGATGACTTGTCTATGACGTATCTTTCAACACCTGATAAGGTATGAGTGCAATTCCCAGGATTGTTTCTGGACACTGCTAGCTGGGGAGTCTAAGAAGTGATGTCCCCACACATTTGGCAGGAGCCAGGCTGAAGAAAGATTAGCCTAAATTGACATAGTAACATCATAGCTAAGGCAAAATGAGAAATTCTTATTCAGATCTTTATTCTCCTATCTCGTATGTCAGTATTCCTTAAAGTGTGGTCCAAGGACCTACTGGGGTCTCCCAAAAACCTCTCAGCGGTCTGCAAAATCAAAATTATTTGCCAGATATGGAAAATTTAGCAAAATTTTAAAGCAATGACACTCTCCCCATTATTATTTTTGTTAAAAGTATATGAATTTTTCATAAACCACAATTTATTTATGTTAATATCCAATGGGTTTAATAGTGTTATTCCTACACGATTCAATCAATATTCTGTGAATATTTTGAACATTCAATTTTAATGTTTAATATGATAAACATCAATAAAAACGAACCCTACAAATTTAAGCTCTTTTGGATTCCTCAAAGCTGGGAAGTTAGAAATGGTCCTAAGTGCATACTTCTTAAGAAACACCTCGTTACACTACCCTAGAAAATGATATTTTGATGCACAATTTCCATCCAGATTCCCCAACTTTAAAAAAATCAGAATCACATCTACTTACTTTTGTAAACCTTGTGAAATTCCAGTGTATCAAAAGGGTTTATCAGGTGACTAAAATCCGGTCTGGGCAGCCCACTTAAAAACAAACAATCAGGAACATTGTATTTAAGGCTTAAAGTTTAAATTCTACTGCCATCTCACCTTTCTGGTGTTCATATACAAACCCTGGCACTGTAGAAAATAAAAAGGTCTCTTAATATAAAACCTCTATGACCCTATAACTGAGTTAGGATACTGCCATTCTTTTAGAGATTTATCTTTGAATCTACTCCCGAGTTTTGGTGTCTAGTCCGATTTATATCTATTGTGGCAAGACCTACTTTTACTGGGAAAACTTACTGAATATCAGCCTACATCAGCTTTGTTAGCTAATTCAGAATGGAACTTGTTGCCCTAACATCTGGATATTATATTTGGCAAAAACCCAGGAGTCCCAACCCCATATGCAAGAGCCTGTGGGAATAGGACTGCTTTGCTAGCCTCTCCTATCAAATGTTTCTCTTTTTTTTTTCAACTATACAATGATGTGTTTCCCCAGAAAGTTTTCTGTACTTAATCAGCATGAAGTTTAAACATGATCTGCAAGGGGGCTACTCTTGGACAGCACTTTGAAATTATTCCCATTGTAATTTCTCATTGTTTGCTTTTTTGAAGCACATCACTGGAGCTTTGTTAAACATGTAAACCAAGGCTGAATCACATGCAGTCTTTCACGCTGTAAACTGCTCAGATTAGCTTAAAAATGAGATGGGCAGCATTTTTTTTTAATTAAATAATTTCCAGATCTATTTCTGGGTTCTCTGACGTTCCCCAAATGGGCCATTGATGTTCAGTGGCTATATGGCAATTTTCAGGCATTATTTAAAAACTATGTTAATTTTTAAGTTAATGTATTCAGATCTGAGCAATTTAATGTTTTTTCTATTTTGGGTAGTAAAAGAATCCCAAATTTGCAAATAGAAATTATAGGAACAACAACAAAAAAAAGGGCAAAGATTTTAGGTAACATCGTAAAAAGTTTATTTATATGGAGAAAAGAGTGGAGAAATGTCAAAATATGCAAATGTTAGTAGAAAGGTAGTATATGGGTTCTATGTCAAATAAGGAAAGAAAATTAATGTGTATAAGCGTCCCTCTGCCCATTTTTACATGAAATTGAAAGTGGGATGTGTCAAGAGAAACAGTGAAGTTGAATGTGGTGGGACACTTATCGATCAGTGTGATGTGGGTGATCAAAACACAAAAAGGAGAGATAAGGAGGAATGGGTATTTATTTATTTATTTATTTATTTATTTATTTATTTATTTATTTATTTATTAATTAAATTTCTATGCCACCCATCTGATTAATGCAATGACTCTGGGAAACTTAAAATATAATAAAAAGTTAAAACATGTTTAAAGCACAAGTAAAATTAGAATAAAAAGATCAAAAGTTAAGAACCATAATGATGGGCAGCCTGGAGGTGAGTATCTTCTCTATCCCTCTGCCATCCCAAACCAAGCCAAGAAGCAGGCAGATCTCACTTCTGATGGGAGAATATTCCAGAGGAGGGGTGGCACAGAAAAAAAGGCTCTTCTCCTGCATCTCACTTCTGATGGGAGAATATTCCAGAGGAGGGGTGACATAGAAAAAAAGGCTCTTCTCCTGCACCCCACCAGCCAAAATTCTTTAGCTGATAGAATCTGAAGTAGGCTCATTCCACTGGAATAAGTGGTGTATGGGTTGGTCCCATCGGGGCAAGGCAGTTGCCCAGTGTTGAATGTGGATTCAGTGCAGGAATGGTTGATTAGTATAAAGACATATAAATATATGAAGAGTGAATGGGATCAGAGGAAAAGCTAACATCAGCGCCAGAAGAGAGTGGGGTTTGCTCTGTATATATATATAAGTGGCTTGCCCTCTCAGTGTTGGTAAGAGTCTTATTGGTAGCTCCTTAATTAGGGTATTGTTTGTTTCTAACATTGGTGACGTTACATAGTTGAGTAATGAAATGTCTGCAAGAAAATAACCAAGCTCAGAGAGCACCAAGGACCCTACAGAATAACAATGAGCTACAAATATTTTCTACTATTAAGTTTCAGCTATTTTTTTTATTATCTCCTATTTTTTGTTTTATCCACTTACTATTTCCTATGCATTTTCTTAGTTGAGTGTAGTGGTGTTTACCTAAAAATTTAGAGAATGAGGGCATGCATTTATGTATAGATCTACTCTTTACAGCAATGTTAGATTCTCCCTATTTCACATATCCCCAACCTCCAATCTTTAGACTGCAAAATAGTTTTTTTTCAAGCTCTGATAAAGTTCTCTAAATTATTGGGGAAGAGGTTTTCAGAAAGACTGACTCCTCACATCGAACTGTACCCATCCTCAGAGTTCCTTGACATTAATAGAGGAATGGTCAGCTGTGATCTAACAAAGAGTGTGTGTTTTGGTTGTGGTTTTACAACTCTGCAACTTTTTCCTGGAGCAGATCCAGGGATGATTTTTAGATAAGCAATAGGGTTTTGCTTCTCTAGGCCTCTGACAGATTTATGTTTTTGACTGAGAGTTGATATTGCTTTCTTTAGTTTTAAATGAATTTCATTTTGTTCCTTTTGGGGGAACTGGAAAGAAGAATATTACTGAGTCTATAAAAAGTCATAAATGAGCCCACACCTGAGAGAAGATTGTGGCAGAAAAGAAGCAATAGATTTGTTTGTCCCATTTCTGCTAAAATGCATTTTTTAGACTTCATTTCATAGTTTAGCTAGTGAATACTGGAAGATGAAGAGTCCACTGCCTGCCAATGAATGTGGTACTTTTACCATATTTTGGTTTGGTTTGGTTCTCTTTGGGAACCGAACAAAAAGTATAATATATTAGTTAATTAATATATTACTATTTGATTCCTAACATGCATTAACTGATTAGTATTCAGGTCAGAAATTCAATTCAAAACTCTGAATTGAATGGATTTTTGAAATTGAATTGGAAGGTTAGTTTGGAGACTCAGATGTCTCCAAATTGATTTTGATAATTTTGGATACTTTTGCATATAAACAAAACTGTTTTTCCAAATGAATTCAGAAATATTAAACAAACCATGCAATTGTGATCTGAACATTCTAACTGAATCAACTTAGTTTTCTAAATAAATTTAAATTATCAAATCGATCCATTTTCAAAATGGAACTAATGGTTAAAAATTGGTTTGTGCATGTTTTTTGGTATTAAGTTTCAAGTATTGACTGCACTTCTGTTTGCACAAACCTCAAACACACATTCACATAAAATGATTTATATGTTTTAAGATGAGCAAATAAGTAAACCTAATACTGACAATTAGAGGCAAACTTAAAAGAAACCCTAAACCTTTACCTCTAAAGGTAAAGATTTCCCTGTCCAATCATGTCCAACTCTAGGGGGTGTTGTTCATCTCCATTTCTTGACCAAGGGAGCCAACATTGTCCAAAGACATTTTCCGTGGTCATGTGACCAACATGGCTGTACACCAAAGGGACACAGAATTCTGTTGCTTTCCCTGTTAATCTGCTTGCATTTGCATGCTTTTGAACTTTTAGGTGGCAGGAGCTGGGACAAGGAATGGGAGCTCATCCCGTTATGTGGTGCTCAGGACTTGAACCCAGGTATCAGCTTTCCAGTTGAACCACTGTGCCCCTTCCATAATTTATTTACAAATCTCAAATGTTTAATTTCCCCCCTTATCACTTTTGTTCCTTTCCCCCTTTGGCTTGAAACTTTATAAAATAGAAAATTTTCTATTAATTAGGATTAGATTATTTTTATTCATATTCCCATACCATCCATCTTTTTAAAACAGAAGAAGCATCTTATAGTTATATTTCTGGAATGTATAGTTATGTTTTTAGAAGTTTTATAGTTTAACCAGAATACTTCAGTTATTGGGTGAATTAGAAATTTTAAGATTAAAAATAACATTAATAGAGTATATTCTTTCACATTGCTACTTCTAATGGAACATATGGCGTATACAGAACACTTAGCTCTTCCAGGAAAAAAAAGAAAAAGATAAACTCACTTATCTGGGATGTGTGAGAAAATTTCCGTCACCCATTTTTGCAAAGTATCCAGGGTTTCTAATCAGAAGAATATTTAAAAAAGGAAAAGAATCATAAAATGTAGAAAATATAGAGAATAAGGGGGAAAGACAATTCTGCTATAAAAATGAACTATATACTGTGGGCATGTATCAAATTTCTATGTATGTATCAAAGTCTTCAAATGGCAATTGTGCATTGAATCAAAGATGGGATTTTCTATAGCTTAACTATGAATCCACAAAAGAAGTATCCAATGTTCTTCCTTTCAACTCTTGAAAGTGCTATTTTTGACAGGAACCAGAATCTTTTGACATTGGGACTCTTGGTTTTTTGTTTTTCTTTTGCAGCAAGGATTAAAAAAAAATATGCATACTAACCAGATTTCAGTAATGCAATTTTTTAAATAAAAGGCTAAGGGTAAGAATGGGAGTGAGAGACCTTTAACAGATAAATCTCTCCCATAGTCGTTCCTAGCACTAATAAACCCCTAAATCTTCCTTCAAATTGGCCTGAAGAATATTGCAGTTAAAATTTCACATTTAATTCTTCATGCAAAGCATCATGTTGTGGGCAATGATGCTAAATAATCTACTGGTAGTTGTCCATGCCAGTTGAGATATCCTACACCCTCCATCAAGTGTGCTTAAAAGTCACTCCTTACTAAATGCAAAAAACTATATTTGCTGTATTAAGGATGCATTTACACAGAATCAACCACCCAGTGATTCTCCCAATTAGTTCACTAACCTTATTGTGCTGTAGTGTAATGGTATGTGGGACTGAACTTGGGAGACAGAGGGAAAATAGACTGCCTAGGGCAGTGGTTCTCAACCTTTTTAATGCCGAGACCCCAACCGGTCGTAAGTCGAGGACTAAACCGGTCGTAAGTCGAGGACTAAACCGGTCGTAAGTCGAGGACTAAACCGGTCGTAAGTCGAGGACTACCCAGCCGGTCGTAAGTCGAGGACTTTCCCTGCCCGGGAGCGTCGCGCATGCATGGTTCCGCCCCCTGCGCCAGCCGAGGTGTAGCTGGCAAGCGGCAGAGACGGAGCAGGCCGACCACCAGCTGGCCCAGCCCAAGGGAGGTAAGGCACCCGCCGGAAAAGGGAAAAAAAAATGGCGGACAGCCTTGCTTGGCGACCCCCGTGAAATGGTCGATCGACCCCAAATGGGGTCCCGACCCACAGGTTGAGAACTGGCCTAGGGAATGATAAGATAAGGGGGGGGGGCAAGGGGAGAGGTCTGAGCTTCATTACAGGCACAGAAAGAAATTCAGAAAGGATCCTCCCTAATGTATGAGGCTACAAAAAGAAATGGTAGGAGATTTGTACTTTCAGGCACACAAAATTCTGTTAATGTAGCCTTACAACAAAGTAGATTTACCTCATCTGTTGTGTTTCCTGTCTGGTCCAACTAGGAAGGTAGGCATGTAGCTTAGTCAACCAAAGGACATATTTTTTCATTCTCCCAGCTGCCACAAAGAAGACTGGGAGGCTATCACTTAATCCCATTAATTCCTGCCTTTTTTTTCTCCATAGAAAGCACAGGATTTCAAGGACATTATTCATTTCTCCCTGTTTTTTGCCCTGTTTTGCTTCCGTATGTGGTCATTACCCATGGGGGTAAAAACCAAACCAACCTCTCTGGTAGAAACCCTAAGAGGCTCCTTTTAGTGTAGGGTCCTTCCATAGTTCAGTGGGGACAATTGTAGGGACAGTTCATTATCAGATAAATGGTTCACAAGTTACATGTATAATTAGGTGAATTGGAGGAATTAACGTAGCCCCCCAAAAAACACTAGTTTGGGCTAAAACTAACCCTCAATAGTTAATAGTCACTTTTAATTAATTTAGTTTTAGAATGTACCTAACACACTTACCATTCCCACCTTATGATCCATATAAGTATCAACAAAAGCCTAGCAGTCTCATGGGCATATCTTGTAACACCTTAAAAATTAGCAAATATGTTGTCACTTAAATTCTGGGGGATTGTTATGTCATGAAATTGATCGCAAACATAATCTACAACAGTTTATGTAATAAAATAAAACTGTTGTTTTTCTTGTAAACGTAACCTAGCTATACAGTACCTCAAGGAATGCTGCTAAGGATGCATCCAAAAATGATGATAAACTTAGGATCATTGAAATCTTGGCTATTTCTAAATAGCTATGTAGTCTCATAATGGCCTAGTTCCTTGATCCATATGATTGAAATCTGGAAAGATTGGAGTGATTTTGCCAACCTTTCCTTGAGATCAAGTGAAAGAATAGCAACATGTTGTAAGATCTTATGAAAAAACAAGCAAACTTACTTCTCAAGGTTTTTGCTATTTGTAGGTTTTAAGGGGCTTGGTGATCATTCTGATCTCTTGATTATTATTTTAATTTGAATGAGCCTCAAGCACAGTTATATATATCAGTGCCCATAAGAACCCATCATTGTTAGATTGGTGGCTTTAGGACTGGACTAACATATACATTAACACAATGGTGTAAGTTGTGCAATTGTACCAGCAAACCAACAGAGTTTCTACTCCTTCCACTGTGTTATTTTAATGGCAGATTTTTCATTCTAACAAATTCCATCAATTACACAACTGAATACACTTTCATATATTATCTATCTATCTATCTATCTATCTATCTATCTATCTATCTATCTATCTATCTATCTATCTATCTATCTATCTATCTATCTATCTATCTATCATAATTATGGGTAATTTCTACCTCTAGACTGGACAACAAGATTCATGTAGTGAGCTGAGTAATATCGTTTTCTGAAATCCCTCAGTCTTGCGTAGGTATCAATTCCTTTCTTTTTTGGTGCATATTTCAGTGTCTCTGCATTACCTATATAATTTGTGAAGAAGAGATTTTCTTATTAACATTAGTATCAATTTCCCTACAGTCTTGCACTTTAGTTCTACATGTTTTCTCTGCAACAAAGCAGATTTTGTTTAACTTAAAATAGCCCAATAATACCAACTAAATATTAGTTTAGAAATGCTATGCTGGATATACAAATGAAACCAGCTGATGACTTATTAATTAAAAGTGATGTACACATAATAAGCCAAAAGAATGATTTGAATAATTTTTTAAGAAGAGACTGGACAGCCATTTGTCTGAAATGGTATAGGGTTTCCTGCCTGAGCAGGGGGTTGGACTAGATGACCTCCAAGGTCCCTTCCATATTTTTTTTTAATTATTATTATTATTATTATTATTATTATTATTATTATTATTATTATTATTATTATTATTATTATTATTATTATTCTATGTTGGATTTACAAAAAACGACCTTAAAGTTTTGAGAAATTTTGTGAAAATGGACAAAATTTTTTACTTTCTAGAACATTATTTGACTGGACTAAAGGTCAAGATTGTTAGAAGTAAAAGGAAGGAAAGTAATATTGGTTTACTTGATTAAGATTAAAATAGATGTGTTGTTATCTTTGGTGATCCTTAATGGACTTTTGCTGATTAGGACTGGCAAAGCTTTAATGATTTGTTTATAGATAACAGATGGGATATTGTTGTATTTAAAAGAAAGTAATAAGTCACCAAAATTGTTTATACTTGTTGTGCTAAAGGGGGAAGTCATATCTATCTATCTATCTATCTATCTATCTATCTATCTATCTATCTATCTATCTATCTATCTACCTACGTGTTTGTGTGTGTGTTTTCTTTTTCTTTGCTATATTCTTATTTTGAATTTCTTTCCTATTTTCTTTTTTTTCTTTCCTGCTCTATTTTTTCTTTTTATTCTTTTTTGTTTTTATTAGTTTTTATCTTTTTAATTGTAATTTTTAATAAAATTACTATAAAAAGGAAAGTGTCCCAAAATCAAACGATTGATTTTGTCCTACACTTAATGATAGAGACTTTTAGCCTAGTTTCAGGCATGCAGATGCTGGGATTGAACTTGGTGACTTCTGCAAAAAGAGGATGTGTTGCATCATGATGCTACAGCATGTCCTTTTCTTTCATTATTTTAACTTAGACCAGATGACAATTGAATGTCAAGCAAACACCTTTAAGAATCTGTAATTAAATACCTTGACTACTCTATGACTGGAGCCAAACATAAAGTTAAACAATTGGTTAATCATGATTATTTGAAGAAGCCACAATTAGCCAGGTTTTACAAATAAAGGTAGGAAATATGCTTTAAGAACAATAGCTGAGTTTGTCACATCATGATACAATAAACCTAGAATTATTCTAGACAATTGGGCAACTAAATTTCATTTTTGATGTGTGCCGTTGTGGCCACAGTAAAAAAATGACAATAAAAGTTATCCTATCTATCTCTATCTTATCTTCAATCAATTTTTCCTGATGTTAATTAATACTTCAAGATTTATCATAACTTTGGGGATTGCCATCTTTCTAAGCCTATAGGAATCAGTGGCAAAACTATGTCTTAAGTCCAGCACTTCATGTATATGGGTTGCTCCTTATGCAAAAGCTAAATGACTCAAAAGCTAAAAGAGGTCTAAAAGTAGGCTTACCTTCTGTGAATTAATGTAAGATTAATATATTGACCTGATTAATGTAGAGATAATCTATTTGGATAAGAAGGATATATGTTTTTACAAGACTATCATATACTGCATCAGACTTAACCATATCTTGAAGGACACAAGATCATTGAGGCATACAAAGCCACTGTCATGAAGCTTTTTTGAAGAATAGCATATCGACAATTTTTGAAAGTAGAGAAAATACTTTATATTATATAAAGTTACCATCAAATACAAGCTCCATTAAAGCCCATCTGCTTGTATCTCAGTATACTTGACTTACCCCAAAAGAATTTTCTCATAGGATGTCCTGGTTTTGCGAGACTTCCAAGCAGGAGTTCTCTTCTGTTAGCATCAGAGGGTTTTGCAATCTGATATTCTGTTTATTTTAAAGTACACATTAGGCATAAGAACTTAGGAAAGGAATTCCAGTGATATGATCATTTGGACAAGGCAAAGAGCATAATGCACACATACATGAAGCAGCAATGAAAAGTGTCATACTCATTTGACACATGCATTGGATTTGTGGTTTTGTTGCAGAAATATCATGGGCTTCATCAGGGATTACTAGTACTTTGGAGAATGAGTATTTCTAGCAGCTCTGCCTATTTATCAACCGTAACAGAGCCAGAACCTCAATTAAAATAGGATAAATAGATGTTCTCTTTCAAGGGGCAAATTACCATATAACCATGACATACATATTGGTGGGAAGAGAGAGAAGTCCTTGATTACACTGGTTCTTCTTCTGATAGAAACATACAATAAGCTACATTTGGGGTATTTCCTTATCAACATTTATTTCTGTGCCTTAGCATTTTCCACTGCTATAAGGGTGTACCAAAAACCGGAGCTCAAGACCCAAATCTAGAACTCCACAGGCCAAGAAATGATCATCCAGAACTGCAGGTTGAGAGATAAAAAGTGGCCAGTTTCATCATGAAGTCCCGGATGAGGGAACCAGAGTTTATGCTGGTTCACATCTTCCTTTGTTCTTTGCTACCTTCCTTCTTAATCCTGTGCATACCTAGCTACATATCTTCATTTGGTCAAAGGGGTTTATCCTCCAGGAAGTTTATTTATTGGTAGCAATAATATAAAGTAATAATATAAAATAGAGATTGCTTTCCTTTCTGTTTCATAGGTGAAGGCAGAGGATTTAGAGACAATAACTTCCACCAGGACAGTGTTTTCTTTGTTTTGTTTTTTAAAAATCATTTGGTGTTAGATCTTAAACTGAGATAAAGGAAGTTTCAAGAAGTTGTGTAATGTTGTAGTTGAACAACCAGGCTTGTGTCACCCTAACAACACACAGAATAATGCTTTTTTTTCATTTTTTTGGTCCCGTCAAATCAGTATTGATGACTGAGCGACTAAATGGATAAATCCCTGCAGCTTTCTCGGCAAGATGTGATTTGCTACTGCCTTTTTCCTAGGGTTGAAAGAGAGTAACTGGCCCAAGGTCACCCAGCTGGCTTTGTGCCTAAGGCCTTAATAGATCTCATAGCTCCTGGCTTCTAGTCTGGTGTCTTAACCATCACACTAAACTGATTGTCAGTAGTGTATGAACATTTACACTGCATTAATCTCCACTGAATTCAACATATTTCCTGCAAGATACCACCAGGATTGCAGTTATTTGTCAAGATTAGGATGTTTGGAGAATAGAACTCCTAAAAGGTATTGTCGGCAATCAAGTGCAAAGTACATGTAATGCAACTGATTTTAAAGATTTTAAATGTGCTTAAACCTTTGAATTGAAAATATTTTTTTTTATAAAATGGTTGTGAGACAGGCCATCCAAATTTCACAAACACGAATATGTCAAAAAATGAAGTGAGATAGTTTCCCACCATCTAAGAACTGAAAAACTATAAGCAGTGAACAACCCATCCATTAGTTTTACCACTATCCACAGCTTCAACTTCACGGTCAATAGCATCTTTAATCATCAGAGGATGAATGAAGAACTGTGCCCATCTATAAATAAAGTAGAAGAGAAATACAGGTGTTTGCTATTAAGCCTTGAAATGTATAGAATAATAATGATTTGTTTCCATAAATATGCTTATGAACTAATGTTATGGCAAAATAAAATTTGATTTTTTTTTAACCAAGCATTCATTTTGATGAAAAATGGTTTTTCATTTATTTGCTTTCATTTTTTATTACACCTAGGCAAGGTATAGGTTTCTTTTATTTTAATTATTTAGAGGGAATACACAAACATATACTCACACACAAAAACTCTATTTTATTGTAGAATTACATCTCTGGCAGCTTGAATTTTCCATGACTTCCCAAATTTCAAGATCCTAAAAGATCCGAAAATATCTTGATTATAGGATCTCTAATCACATATAACTAGAGATCCTATAATCAAGATATTTTAGGATCTTTTTTCAGATTAGAAAGATCAGTCAACTGGTCTTTCAGTTAAAGAGGGTTTGACTTCCCTTGACCTCTCCCAAACCCTCACTAACATCTTCTGAGCTTCATAAAAATAAAGAGAATTTGAGGACTGAGGCTCACTTAAAGATAACATAAAAACTAGCAAACGACAAAAGCTAGGCTAAGACTAAGCTAAACCTGCCACCAGGAAAGAACTAAACAGAACATGTATTTTAAATGCATGCAAGAATTACGTTCATATTTGAAACATTTAAAGCTCCAATGATTAATGTTGAGCTAAAACTGCTGCCTAGCCTAACTAGAAGGTTTCTAAAAGGATTTGGAACTTTATAGAAATATTTCAAGCTCAGAGCAGAATTATTTTGCGCTTGAAACAGTATTAGGCTGGCTTGTACACTTCACTATGGTTAGAACAAGCTGCTTTGAGCTTATAGCCACTATTTCGAGCTCAAAATAATGTTTGAATTCAAAATGCTAACCGTTTGGCACACCTCTAATGCATATTATGATTTTATCCCTCAGAACTTTAGAACTCAAAATGGTCTTTCTGCTATCCATCATGCTTTCAATAAATTAGAATTATGCAAAAGAGGCAATTTACCTATGGCACTAGAGCAGGGGTAGTCAACCTTGGTTCTTTTATGACTCGTGGACTTCAACTCCCAGAATTCCTGAGCCAGCTGTGCTGGCTCAGGAATTCTGGGAGTTGAAGTCCACGAGTCATAAAAGAGCCAAGGTTGACTACCCCTGCACTAGAGCATGATAATCGGAGCCCTAATAAGCCAATTAATCTTTGATGTTGTTCCTCTGTCCTGTTCTACCTCTGAGATTTCCTTCAATTAGAAGGAATTTTTCAAATTTTGCAAAACTTTCTTCCAGCAATAAAAGTCTATATGGCCAAAAGTAAAGAATAATGGGATCTGGACTCAATAACAGCTGCAAGACCTCTGGTGACCCAATTCTTAAGTAGAACACACAAATTAATTACTGCTTGATGATCTGCAATAAATGATATTTATGAATATTTATGGTTAATTTAGAACAGTGCTTCCCAAACTTGAATAAATTACCCAAAATTGGGTAAAAGTTTTTTTTTCTGTGTAATCACACACAAACCCACTAACCCAATATCACAAAATATCCCAACAGGGATAAGTAAATTGACTTAAAGATGTCCATGTATTCTAAAATATATTCAAAAATCTACAAAAAAATCTATTAAGATGAAAATCAATCACACCACCAATGATAGTTTCTTAGAAATGCGATAAAGATCATTCGCTGATATTTTTATAACACAAATAATCCTCAAGTTATGAATTTAATTCAGTGACAATTTGAAGTTATGACTGTGTTGAAGGAAGGGACTTACAAGCAGTCCTCAAAGTCTGATAAGATTTTCTAATAAGCAATTTGAGGTAATGAAGGAAAAGTCTGGGAAGCACTAATCTAGTACGTATAAGATATAGAGTGACTGTACTCTTCAAATTGCTATAACTACCCAGTCATTCTACTGAGGGATCTTAGTCTTTTAGCTTATTAAGTTACCTGTCAAGAGCTTCTTTAAAATATTTCTTTTGGATATCAAACTGGAAAATAGTTCGTTCTGTATCTGTTGAGGCATTGTCTGACCCTCCATGCTTCTTTAAGAATGTATCAAATCCATTTTCATCTGGATATTTCTGGCTACCCATAAATACCACTAGAAGAAAGCAGTCAGATAATTGGCTGTGATCAGATGCAGGCAAGGATTTCAGTATATTATCACTCATGTCAATGGCTCTATCTCCAAAGGGGGGGGGGAGAAATGCTTTATTAGGGCTGCAGCAGTTAAATGTGCCAGATTAAAAAAATAGAAAGTGATTCTAGAACAATGGGGTAGTTCCTGAAAAGGCTCTGCTCGATAGGTGAACTAGTGGCTATATACCTATGTGGATGTAATGATCACACTGAAATGGGATTAACCAGGTCTGAACAGCTGATATCCTTCAGACTCTTTTGGACCTCCTACCTCTCTGTGCTCCATGCCACTGGCTAACTTATGGCACTGGCTACTGTATATCGGAAAGTGTTCACATGGTTTTCAGTTTCTAACAGTATCAATTTCCAATAGAAGATAATGTATGTAGTTCCGGGTTGAACTGTGGAGTCCTTGCTGCTCTCTGAACTTAGTTGGTTTCTTGCAGATATTTCATTACCTGATTAGGTAACATCTTCAGTTCTAGAAGAGAGTTGGGGTTATTCCTCTGTTTATGTACAGTAGCTTGCTCTGTCAGTGTTGGTGGGGTTGTTATTTTCTCCTTGGTAGTTCCTTGATTAGGTTACTGTTTACTGCTTCATTGTTGACTAGTTTAGTTCCTGTTTATCTGGATGTTGATTGTTGGCAAAGAAGTGTTTTTTAAAATTCTTTTTAGCTTCTTTATTGTCTGTTTTGAATAGTGTGCAAATGTTGTTTATCTCTATGTGCCTTAACATCTGCAAGAAAGTATCCAAGCTCAAGGAATACCACAATATCAATTTCCCACAGCGTTGTGTTATTCTTGGCCACTGTTGGAACATTTAAAAGAGGGACAGATTCTCATACTTATCCACTACCAAAAGTTCAACTAGGTTGGGATTTGGGAAGTACTTCACTTTCACATCCAGTTTTGTCTTTGTCCCTTTCTCTGGAACATCTTACGAATGTAAATGTCTATGGCGATTCTCAATCATTCAGGTCATGGTTGTCCCAAAGGTGCTTTTTCAAGAGGCAACTGGACTTTCTTGTTTTTCCTTGAAGGCATTTCACTTCTCATCCAAGAAACATCTGTTTCTGAAGTTCTGAAGAAGCTTCTTGGATGAGAAGCAAAACATCTTCAAGGAAAAACAAAGGAAGTCCAGTTGCCTCTTGAAAAAGCACCTTTGGGACTTATGAATGTAAGTAGACTTATGGAAAGGTATTGATTTATCTGCCTTGTTTTTTTTTTATTGCTTTCCATTACTTTTTTTTTAAAGCACAGTTTGACTGATTTTAAAAGAAAACTAAGAACAGCTTTAGGCCTGTAAAAGAAAATATTTAAATAGTACTGAGGATGTCAACATATAGAAAGCTGCACATTCCACAGCAAGAGATAGGACAGCTTTCTTTCTGTCTCTTTGTTAATTGTTTGGTAGATAAGCTTTAGATTTTACATACTATGCTCCAAAAAATGAGCCAATCCAGGTAAATCACCAGGGTCACAGAAACTCCCAACACCAACAGCAAGGGCGGCTGCAGCCTGCAATCAAAATATAAAGCAGAAACAGTGAGAAGTCAATACAAGACAAAGCCAAAGTATACAGCATTTTTCCAGTATGAAAGGAATCCTACTTCTGTCAAAATTCTGCTCCATTCCCAACTGCAAGCCTGTCCCTAAGAAAGCAAGCAGACACAGATGCTGTTATTTATGTTTCACTCTTAAATTTTCTTTGCAGGCAAACTGGAGTAACATACACAACAAAATAAAGTCTTCAAATCCTGCAATTCAGGCTGCTTCAAATAATCCCATTTTCTTCTTGCTCTGTAGTAAAATAATATCTTAGCTGTTTTTTTAAAAAAATATTTCAGACAAATGTTGTACCTTAAGAATGCTCATTATCATTTTATTCATTTTGACAGGAGCATTTCGACCTCTGGCCCATGAGTTGCAGTTGTACTCTCCAAAGTCATTTTTGAAGTCATCAAAGCATCAGAGTTCCCCCACCCAGAACCTTGATTCTTTTAAAAAAATTCAGTTATAAAAATAGATGTATTAAGTTTACCCAGGGCTTAACACATATATTTCTTTTACACTTGTTTGAGCAAGCAGCAAATAGTCACTTTTTAAGAGTCGACATAACATCACTGCCATGTGAACCCTTGGTGTTCAGAATGTGTTAACTTTGACACAAACAGGGTGTACCTACTGGCTAAGAAATAACACATCCCTCGATGTGCTATAACACAATTAATTCAAGCTACTGTCTCAACAATAGTGCTCATCCTGATGTTTACAGATAGTCCTTGCTTAATGACCATAATGATAGTCCTGGGTTTACAGATAGTCCTTGCTTAATGACCATAATGAGGACTGGCAACTCCATTGCTAAGTTCATTAAGTGAGACATCAAGTGACTGTGCTGGACTTACAATGTCACTTTTCCCCACAGTCATTAAGTGAGATATTACATGACCAAGATTTGCAGTTTCATTGCTGGCTTCTCCATTGACTCTGCTTGTCAGACGTTAGCTGTGAAGCACCCAAATGGATATCTTGTGATTGCAGGACACTGCGACAGTCATAAAATGGCTTCTGGTTGTAAAGCACCTGAATCTTGACCATGTGACCATGGGGATATTAGGGCAGCTATGAGTGTAATAACCAGTTACTTTTTCAATAATGTTCTAAATTTTAATGTTTTCTAAACTCAGCAGTCATTACTTGTCTATTTTATTTAATACTACATCTCGCCGATTAACAAGTAGCTAAGTTATTTTATAACATACCTGCTTTTCTGTACTGCCCATCTTATTTTCATCTTCTTGTTTCACTAATTCTTCATATATTTCAGGGTCATCATGGTCTTCCCTCACTTCACGATCACCTTCAACAATACCATCACTTCCAAAATCATAACTTCCTTCACTTCCAACTTCACCATCCAGAGATCCATCCTCAGATTCCTTGATATTCCTATCATTTCTCTCAGTTTCCTGAATTTTTGTAGCAAGAACGTCTTCCTCATCTGTTCCAGAAGATATTAGGAAATCTTCTAGTTCAGTGTCTGATTCATCAGAAGAAGTGCAATCATCAATTGTCCAGTCAGAAATCAACAGCACATTCATGCCATTTTTTAATTTGATGTGCCTGTAAAAATAATGATAGAGGTGTTTTATGTGTATGTGCAGTATAAACAGGCATTTTTCTTGGCAGCTATTCTCATAACCCCTGCAAAGTATTTTGAAATATATATTATGGTGAATTAGTAAAAACTCCCTGTTATATCAAGGGGCTCACACAATACCCATTTTTCAGGTCTGTACAGAGAAGATGGATGTTGAATTGGATGTTGTGAATAAATATCTTTTGAGTGGCGAGTTTCGCCAGACAAAATGTCTTGTATTCCAGAATTTCTTTCCAAAAGAAGCAGGCTCTTTCATTTGTACTCTTTTAAGCATTTTGCCTTAAAGAACAATAGAAAATTAAGTCAATCCCTTCTGGCTTTCTTATTTTTTATACCAGGGCTACAAAAGTGGATGAAGAGATAGTTCATATTAATTATTATGTATCAGCCTACAGATAAATTGGTCATGAAAATTATTATTACTTTAATTATCAATCTTATATCTATTTCTTATTGTTTAAAAAAACATTTTCCAATTAAAAGAAATCCTGAAGACAATCTATTTATGTGGTGCCTAAGAACCAACACCAGACTGATGGCATGACAATACCTCTAACACCATAAAACATCCACGTCTGCCTATCCCAGATCCTTGGGAAAAACTTGATAGGTGGATAAAATGTCAAATCCAGTCTGAACATTTGGCTAACTGCACAATGAACAATTATTAATAGTAACAATTACTCCATTCACTCCAAAGTGATACTAGTCACATGGGCAGTGGTCCTTGGAAGGTAACGATGATAATGATGCTGGTGCTGCTCTGGAAAAAAAACAAGTTTCTTGTCCATTCCTACTGTCAGCCCATAATTACCTGTACTCCTTATGGTCACTGGGTGATTTTACAATATCTGGGTCTCCCTCATTTTTCTTGGCTCTACGCTTCCGCAATTCCTCTGCATGTTGGGCCCTTTCATTACGGCATCTCTGTGGCCTCTGCTGCTGTGAGCGTATAACTGGACAATTTTCTGCTCCTTTGGTCCTAGTCTCACCAGACATTTCAGAGGCTCCAAGATGAACTTCAAAGAGCTGGCTAGCTAACCTACTTGTCTACTAACTATACAGCTCCATTCCAGCCAGATAAGTATCCCATCCATCAGCTAGCCTGTTTATCTTTTTCTTCCCATTGGTTGACTAGATGCTTTAGAATTAATATATGTTTATGACATCAGTGAAGGAGAAAAACAGGATTCCGTGAGAATGATTAAAGGGGAAAGAAAGGGCATAAGAAAACAGTATATAGGACTTCATTTGCGTTTAGGTTATAGTGTTTCTATTTATCTAGTTAGATAAAAAGGGAATGACATAATAGATCTGGAAGAAGGTGGTTTGATGGTCTTCAACTGATGAAATGCATAATTATGAAAAAACTAAAATATATGTAAAAAATTAGACTTGGTATCAGGTAGATTGATATGCACGTATGTTAAAGTAGAACATTATAAACTGATAACAAGTCAGTTTGAGAACATTCCAGTGAATAGTGATAAAATAATAAATGTGGATGAGTTTGGGAGGGGGGAATGAACTTTTTGAATGAATATGATCAAGATAGGGAAATACAACTTTAACAACTATTAATAGAAAATATTGATCATTAGCTTAAATCTCAGTTTTCTGAAGCTATGGTTAAAATGTAAATGGAGGCAGGTGAAAAAAAAATCACTGGTCCACTTTCCAATAGTTAATATCAAGATATTAACAAAGGTCACTGACTAAAATCAGCTACATCAAAATCCCCCACAAAGATCTTGATTCACTAGCTAATAGCACATGCAGACAGACCTTTGAAACCAAGAGTCTTTTCCTATTTTAAAAGTGCCTAAGACGGCCTTAATTTGCACCCAATCTATAGCAGCTGAGAGTTTTTCCAGATCACATTTTTGATTTATTGTTGTTTTTTTGCCCCAGAATTTTTATTCTAAACTTTTGCAATGTGTTTATTTGCAACAGTTCCTACTTTCTTACATCAGCTATTTAAACGTACTTTTTCCATATATCCTGATGGGAACGGCTATAAATGATGGTGCTCAAAGGGGGAAAATGATTAAAGGAGAAAGTGAGAAATACAGTGAGAAAATTGAAACATGGTAAGGCTACCTGACTCAACTGTGTAACTGGAGAAGTATAACAGAAGAACAGAGCTGGAAAAGACCTTGGAGGTCTTCTAATCCAACCCCCAACTGAAAAAAATGGCTGTCCAGTCTCTTCTTAAAAACTTCCAGTGTTGGAGCATTCACAGCTTCTAGAGGCAGGTTGTTCCACTGGTTAATTGTTTTAACTGTCAGAAAATTTCTCTTTAGTTCTAGGTTGCTTCCTCTTCTTGATTAGTTTCCATCCTTACTACTTATCCTGCCTTTAGATGCTTTGGAGAATAGGTTGACTCCTCTTTCTTTGTGGCCACTCCTGAGATATTGGAGCACTGCTATCATGTCACTCCTAGTCCTATCCAGTTCCAGCAACCATTCTTTATGTGTTTTAGTCTCCAGTCCCCTAATCATCTTTGTTGCTCTTCTGTGCACATCTTTTTTATGTTGTGGCCATCAAAACTAAATGTAGTATTCTGTGTGGTCTTATAAAAAAATAAAAAATAAATATGAAAACATAGATATGATTTGCTTATGCAGTGATTGTGTAGTTGGTTAATATGTGTGTAAAAACTGGTCATGTGGCTGAAGATTGCAAAGAATACCATTACTGTTCCCCTAAACAAAGGAAAAGGTAATCAAGAGTAATGCAGAATGTACAGACAAAGTAGTTTTTCAAGCAAGCCTAAGAAGGACATTAGTAGAACTCTAATGGAAAGAGAATGGAAGGTAACAATGAACAAATTATGAGGAGTGCATTATTAGGCAGAGAACAGCATGTTCCAGAGCTGGATATTATGAGAAATAAGATCCTGTTTCATGTAACTATGTTCTGTACCTAATATGCAGAGGCAGATACAAGCAAACATCTGTGTATCTCAGGATAGCAACTATACAAACTTCATGAAGAATTTTTGGAGACTCTGTGCATATGGATGGAGTGCCAGGTATATTATTTCTTTCTTTCTCTCTCCCTCTCTCCTTCTCTCATTCCAGTTGCCCAACCAAAATGTACAACATTTTGATGACCAACAACCAACCCACAAGAGAACAACAGTTTGATAAATAATAATATTAAAATAACCAAGCTCCACATAATGCAAGAAAATACATATTGGGTTCCAATAATATCCTGATCCTAACGCCTGGGGGGGGGGGGGAAACCCAGATCTTCCCAGCCTTTCAAAATGCCAAAAGAGTCAGAAATCTCTGCAGTGGGGTACCTCAAGGTTCTGTTTTAGGCCCAGTGCTCTTCAATATCTTCATAAATGATTTAGATGAGGGGATAAAAGTGGAACCCATCAAATGTGCAGATGACACCAAGCTGGTGAGAAAAGCCAACATTCCAGAAGATAGGCTCAGGATCAGGAAGGATTTTGACAGACTTGAACATTGGGCGCTATCTAACAAAATGAAATTCAATGGTGAGAAAAGTAAGATTTTACTCTTAGGCAAGAAAAACCAAATGCACCGCTATAGAATAGGTGGTACTGGGATCAATGGCCGTAATTGTGAGAGGGATCTAAGCGTTCTAATGGACAACCACTTAAATATGAGTCAGCAGAATGCTGCAGTTGCCAAAAAAGTCAATGCAATTCTAGGTTGCATTAACAAAAGGATAGAATCAAGATCATGTGAGCTGTTAGTACTGCTTTATAATTCCTTGATAAGACCACATTTGGAATATTGCATCCAGTTTTGGTCCACACAAATAAATAAAAAATAAATGTTGAGACTCTAGAACAGCGGTTCTCAACCTGTGGGTCGTGACCCCTTTTGGGGTCAAACGGCCATTTCACAGGGGTCGCCAAAGTCCTGGAGTTTTTCCTCATAGAATCCTTATGAAACGCAGTCCGGCATTTCCCCCCCCCTTTTTCATGAGCTGTGCTACTCCCTCTTATTCTATTGGCTTTTGAAAGCCAATAGAATAGACTCTATTCAAGAGAGTCTATTCTATTGGCATTCGAAAGCCAATAGATTCTATTGGATTTCGAACACCAATAGAATAGACTCTCTTGAATAGAGTCTAATTCTATTGGCTTTCAAAAGCCAATAGGAATTGTCCAGGCTGTCTCTGCCCTGCTGAGCCTGCCAAAAGTCCCAGTCGGCAAACGTTGCTGCAAGTTGTCTGCAGCTAAGGCGAGCTTTCTGGAAGTTTCCACCCCTCCCTAACAATAGCATTCTATCTGAATTTAGTCATAGGTCAGAATTCAATCAAATATTTTAAGGCATGAATTATGAGTCTGGACAGCCACTTGTCTGAAATGGTATAGGGTCTCCTGCTTGAGCAGGGGCTTGGACTAGAAGGCCTCCAAGGTCCCTTCCAAGTCTATTATTCTATATTCTTTACTAGCTCTGATGAATCTTCCTGCCCACATTGAATTAAATGAGCTACTTATGAGCTAAATAATTATAAGCTGTAGCAAAAGCTCCTTCTCATAGGATAAATTAGGAAATGGACAAAAATCAAGAAAATATAATCTGATCATTATTTTTGCATTCTTAATGTTCTGGCCAGGAAAAGAACTGAACTTTCTCAGTTATTTCATAAGGTTCCAATGAAATTCTGCCATATATTAATGTTGGGCAACATGCCAGCTTGGATAAGCACAGTTGACCTATACATTTGTCCTACAATTAAATTAAATTGAATCTGTGCCATTTCACAGGAGATAGGTTGTATGTTTTATAACATTTCTATATATAATGGTGTTTCAGAATTTGCTGGATCCATCTGGGATCTGTTACAACTCTCAAGCAACTGTATTTTTGTAGCAGATTAAGATGGCTAAAGTATTGAATAATAATAATAATGATAAAAGTCTGGATAGTGGATGTGGCAGTACCTGGAGATGACAAAATAGAAGAGAAAGAACTGGAGAAGATAACAAAATACACAGACCTGCAAACAGAAATAGAATGACTGTGGCAAAAGAAAGCAAAGGTATACCAATAATATTAGGCATCTTGGGTGCAATCCCAAAGCAACTGGAATACCATTTGAACACCATCAACATTGACAAATTCACCATCAGTCAATTGCAAAAGGTGGCTTTACTCAAAACAGCTTACATCCTGTGACAGTATCTGTAACACCATCAAACATCCACATCTGCCTTTCCCAGGTCCTTGGAAAGGACTTGATAGGTAGAAAAAAATGCCAAATCCAGTCTGAACATCTGGATGACTATGCGATGAACCATAATAATAATAATATATATGTTTGTGTGTGTGTGTGTGTGTGTGTGTGTGTAAATCGGAATGCAGAGTTTTGTAAATTCTTGATACAAAGCAAGGAAAGGGGTAAAAAGAGTTCCCAAAGGCCTACTATTTGAAAGCAAACTTTGAATAATGTAAGAATTCAAAGAACTGAAAAAAATGATAAAGCATAAGAGAACATAAGATATTTGATAATGGGGTAATTATTAAAAAATTATTAAAAAAAAATTATTAAAAAAACTCTGGACTGATGACATAGGATGTAGTCTAGAGAAATGAATAATAGATTATTAAGTTATTGGAAGGATAGGAAAGAAAGCCCTATATAATCTATAGCAGAAGGTCTTTTCCCCCCATAGGGAACAATCAGCATCTCCCTTTAATTCTGGAATATTGGATTGTAGATTATAGCCTACTGGTCTGCAGCAATATAGAATCTACAATATCATTCTTATACCATCCCAGTCAAATGGTTGGCCAATCTATTTTTGAAAACCTCCAGTGATGGAGCGCCCACAACCCTAGGAAGCAAGCTATTCCATTGATTAATTGCTCTCACTGCCAGAAAAACGTATCCTTATTTTTAGGTTGCATCTCTCTTTGACAAACTTCCACCTGTTACTTCTTGTCCTGCTCTCTAGTTCCCTAAAGAATGTCAATCCCCTCTTCTTGTGACAGCCTCTCAAATACTGA